TAAAAGTCAACAAACAGTTTCATTTGACATCCAATCGAACTGGTTTAAATATCAAGATGACTTTTTTGTTATCGCTTACCTTTCATCTTCAAATAAAAGGTACCTAAAATTATTTAGAAACATTATAAGTAGTATATTATTCTTAGTGAAAGGGCCATTTCCAAAAATTTATATATTCCTATTACCTTGACAACCAAACATCGACTTAGATATTTTTTTTAGAAAACATCTAAGACAAAATTCAACAAGAAATAATACTATTTCACACTTCCGAGTATAAATGATTAGCTAATTGATATCTCTGGCAAAAATCATTTCTTCCTTCAAAAAATTCATCGAAGTCGAAGGGTCATTGTTGTTGACAGATTTTGAGGTAAACTTTAACGTTGTGTTGAAAGTGAGTGAATTTACTCCTCTATTTTGTAAGTTTTCTGCATGATTTATGCGGTTTTATTGGCGTTCTTGTTATGATTTCGTTTCTTTGTAGAGTTTAGAATATGAGGAAGTGTAGTGAGGTTGAACTGGGAAAGAGAAGAGAGAGAAATAAGGTAACGCGATGATTAGTTGTGGAATAGGATGGAATTGCATTGGGATTTATTTAGTTATATACTTTTGATTAATTTCGCGAGTATGATTTAGTATTGTAAGTTATTTTCAAAATATGATTAGTAGTATTTTGAGTATTGTTTAGTCATTATTAGTTTATATAAATGTCACTTGGGTGACGTACCTTGCCTTTGTCCTACTCTCTTTTGTTATATTATCACATTTAGCATTTTTGTTGTAATAACAATATTTTTTTTAGAAAGGCATTGCAGGCACACCAACCACCATGCATATTCATATTTGTGTCTGTGTGTGGAGATTGGTTCCCGTCGTTGATGCTGTGGAAGGAGGAACTTAGTGATCTTTGTGCCAAAGTATGAAGCACACTATTTGTGACAGGGGTATTTGTTATAGAGAGCGATGCACCCTCCCAGAAACTAAATCGAAAAAAATGGTGTTTTTCTGCAGCAAATCCAATGATTTCTACCACAAAATGAGCAAGCTTGCAGAGGTGTCAACCTGTGTCTGGCGAAAGAAAGTGTGAAACGCAAGATGCACACGATTCTAAACAAAAGTATAGATAAATCTTAAAATATGTAAATGAAGTATAATAACAATAGTAAAAGACTTTAAAAGCATGAATGTAACAGCAGTCATTGATAATTTACCTTACCTTGAATAACACAACAGTAAAAGCATAACTCATTACTGCAATATATTATGTGTTACTATATGGCTAATTATCAGTATCTGCTGTTAAATATTTCTGCTCTTAAAGTGTTTTCTTAATGTTGTTATTCTTCATTTACATGTTTTAAGATTTGTCTATAGACTTATTCTGAAGTATCTGCACATTGTGCGTTTCACATTTTCATTCGCCAGCTGCCAGGTTTGACAGTGTGGAACCGATCATTTCATGGCAGAAAGCTGGCGAGAAATGTTGTGTTGATTCTTAGCTATTCTTAAGACTGTACAGTGGCAATGAAGAAAAAATAGACCATCCCAGTTTAATATCTGAGCCCATCAAAAGCCCCAAATGCCAAAAAAAAAAAAAAAAAAAAAAAAAAAAAAAAAAAAAAAAAAAAAATCGAATGATATACGTCATGTCCTCCCCTGCTATTGGGACTATCAAGTCAAGATCATCGATTGAGAAATGGTACGTGTCCTCAATGATTCATTTGCAGAAGAAACAATGCCAAGAACTGATGAAATCATTTTTCTGCAGATTTTTTTTTTTTTTTTTTTTTTTTTTTTTTTTTTTTTTTTTTTTCTTTTTTTTTTTTTTTTTACTCTATTTATGAGAGGGGGTGTCACTATCGGTAATAATTACCCAATCTGAAAATAGGTCCAGGGAATGAGTAATAAACACTATATTAGGCAAGTACCAAATTAAAATTTAATTGAAATTCGCACCATTAGGCATAACCAATTTTCTTCCTTACATGACTCTTTGCCAGGGATTAAGTTTCAGTTCAAAATGGAATACAAATTATTTATAAAGTGTTGTTTTTATGTCCTTATGAGATCTTTTTCTTCTGCAGTAAAACATGGACCGTCTTCTGCGCTTGGGAGGAGGCCTACCAGCCCTTGGCCAGGGACCTCCACCCAATGATGCTCCCGTTCCTGACACTGCTGAACAAGTAAGTTGACACTGCGCATTTAAAGAAGGTATACTATGCATGTGCATTATATATTTAGGTTACATGAGAAATAGTGTCTTTTTTATCAGGCAAAATAAAACTGGAATAATGACAATAGAATTTGTGCAGTGTTATAAAATGTAACAGTATTTTATTCTTTGAACAGATAGATAGTGCTCTATGACCTAGATGTCTAGCACCTTTTTCTTAACAATTAACCATTTGTAGAGATAGACTTTCTATATTTTAACTCCTTTAATGGGATTTTAAAGATTCCTTTAACCCTAAGTGCATTTCGTGTCTACAGGTTTACATCTCATCACTAGCATTGTTGAAGATGTTGAAGCATGGCAGAGCTGGAGTTCCCATGGAAGTGATGGGGCTGATGCTGGGAGAGTTTGTGGATGACTACACGGTCCGAGTTATTGACGTATTTGCTATGCCACAGAGCGGAACTGTGAGTGCATTGTTTGTTGTTACTCTCAGTCTGTATACTTATGCTGTGAATATTATTTGCAAGTTATTAGTCAAAAATAATAAAAAAGGGAGAATGTTAAGAAATTACATTAATTGGATATTTTTGTCTGTTAGATGTAGACAAATATTAACTTTGTTTCAATTATTGAGCATTCTAGGCTCATTAGAATATGTCAATTACTAAGCATAAAACAAGATTGCCTTCAGATCATTAAATCATTAGTATTAAAAACCCTTATGGATATTAAATAGGTTTATATATGTATTTACTTAGGTTTACAAAATAGGTAAGTTTTAAATGTTTTATAAGAATTCCAGATTTTGTTCAAGAATCTATAAAAGCCAGAGTAAATGTTGTTCATATTGTTAAGTAGATGACATGGCACTATGTTTATCACAATGTTGACTTAAGCAATTCATCCTTTTTTTTTTTTCTCTTCTTCTTTCTTCCAGGGAGTATCAGTAGAAGCTGTAGACCCAGTGTTCCAGGCCAAGATGTTGGATATGTTGAAGCAAGTTGGTCGGCCAGAGATGGTGGTCGGCTGGTACCACTCTCATCCAGGATTTGGTTGCTGGCTCTCTGGAGTCGATATTAACACCCAGCAGAGTTTTGAGGCTCTGTCGGAGAGAGCTGTGGCTGTTGTGGTCGATCCAATCCAGTCTGTTAAAGGTGTGTAGTTTGACTGGCAGAGGCTGGCTGTTTTAACACCCTCCCCTCCTCCATTTAGGATCTGTTGTCTTACTGTGTTAAGTGTAAATTGAGAGATGTATTTGCTTAAAAATCCTGCTGCTGCTTAGGCCCTAAATTTTATCTTAACAGTCTTATAATGGAACTTTTATATTGAAAATGTTGAGATGAAATATTTGGAAAATGTTAAAAATATTTAGGAAAAAAAAATAACATCCTTTTCTCCATTTAATCTTGAAACTAAGAATATTTTGCAGATAGGTCTTTATAGCTTTTACTTTCACTGAAACCCATTTGTAGTTTTCCTCCAGTGACATGCTTTAGTAATTCATTGTTAAGGTAGGACATTACCATGATTAAACGTTAGTGATGTATTCTTGCCATTAGTTTTCCTAACTCTTTTCATTTTTTCTCTACCCCAGGTAAAGTAGTGATTGATGCCTTCAGATTAATTAATCCCAACATGATGGTTCTTGGGCAGGAGCCTAGACAGACTACTTCAAATCTTGGGCATCTTCAAAAACCATCCATTCAGGTAATTTCAAATTTCAGCTGGTTTAGTTATAGGTCTAAAATTTGATGAACCATGTTCATTGTGATAGAGGTGTTATGAATGAGAATCTCTTGTTCCTTGTCATAGTCAATATACTTGTGCCTGATTTGCATTATTTTGAATAAAAATGATTTTCCTCATTGACAGTGAGCCACTGTCTGCATCATATTTCTTTTTCATATCAACTTGAAAGTTGGAATGTGAAACTGAAAAATTCAGTAATAAACTACAAATTAGCAGCCAGTTCCTAGTGTCTTGCTTAACAAATTCTTTCTACCCTTCTAGGCCCTGATCCATGGACTCAACCGTCACTATTATTCTATCCCCATCAAATACCGCATGAATGAAAGGTAAGCTTGTGTAGCGAGTCATTGCTGCAGTTTGGACGTCTATGGAAAGCAAACCTACCTGTAATAAACCTTAACTTTACATTCCTGGAAAACTGTTTTGTGCCAAATCATCTCAGTAAGCAGTTCAGTGCCTAAATTCATCTGGCAAATATTTCCAGAGAACAACAGATGCTTCTTAACCTGCACAAGAAGTCGTGGATGGAAGGCCTGACACTCCAGAACTACAACGAGCACAGCAGTCTCAATGAGGACACTGTTAAGGAGATACTTAATTTGGCCACAGCATATAATAAGGTATTTTTTTTTTCCTCAACCTTGTATTATGATTAGGATCCTCTTCCATACTGAGGATTTTCTTAACAAGTGATAATTATAGTTTCATTTGTTGTAGATGTACCCATATGATCTAATATTTTTTTTACTTCTTTGCTTTTCAGAGTTTGGAAGAGGAAGAGAAAATGACCCCAGAGCAATTAGCCATCAAGAATGTAGGAAAGTTAGACCCCAAGCGGCATTTGGAGGATAAGGTTGAAATCCTCATGACCTCAAATATTGTGCAGTGTCTTGGTGCTATGCTGGACACTGTTATTTTCAAGTAAATCTCCTTTTATTTAGTCTACAGTTTTAAATGAATCAGTTATTAGTGTAAACTGGATATTGTACCAAGAGGATTGTTCTGCCATGCCTAGGAATGATTGCAGCATTGTATGACAATAAATACTAGAAGATATTGTGTGTTTTGTACCAGCATTTTAAAACACAGCCATTAGCCCAAAACAAAATCATGTATGTATTTATTATGCTCTATAAAATTCAAAAGGAAGATGAATGCAAGTATTATTTTTCTTGTTGCATTTATTTATATGGAAATAATTAAAGTTTACACTATATGCTTGAAGCCATTTGCTTTGCCATTCCTTTGGTAGCAATTCTAAATCCAGGTATATATTCAAGCATCATTCTCATGTTCCTCGTAAATTTTCTATAGAAAGCAAGAATAAATTAAAACTAGACAAACAGAAAGAAACATTTTCCATACCACAATTAAGTGTTGTAAACTCTATACTGTAATAAAAAAATAATAGTTTGATGACTTTGTCATAGCCTTTTAATACATTTTTTTATACATGTTATGTACATAGTATGGAAGAAATATGACATCTACATGTTGATTTTGAACAATAATGATGAATGAGAAGCACCATAATACTGAAGCCATATCAGGAAGACATCTACAGAGTGCAGATTGTGACAGTATTTTGAATGAGATCACTTTAAGCAGGTTTTGATACTATACATTAAAATTAATCATGAACAAGGATTGTGCTAGATTTCTAATACTTCAAATGCAAATTATGAAGTCATTAGGCATCTACAGAAGGGCCACCGATAATTTGTTGAGTAAGTTCATTGCACTTGTGTCATGCTCTGTCATGACAGAGTATTTTGAATTATACAGCAGACTAGCATCTAGAAATTTGTTTTAAAGTTAGTAACAGAGTGAGAAGTTAGATTGCTTTTGCTCTATTTCAAGTGAAAATTTGCTGCTAATCTATTTCTGAATTTCCGTGACTTTTTTGAGGACTTCCAGTATGGTTTCCCATATCTGGTGAGCCTTTGTTATCTGTTGAGTTATTCATGTGATGACCTTTGCCCCCTGAATCAGTCTCTTTTACATTCTGCCTTTGTTCAATGAAGGATACACACGGTGTGTCTGACTCTGAGCTCTGATTCATCCATGAAAAGGCCATGATCAGATCTGACTTGTTATCCCTTGATTTTCTCGCTTCCATCATTCCCTTGCTGTCAAAACCTGAAACTACACTATAACTTCTGCTCCCCTGGGCACTCACAGTTGTGGTGACAACCTGGGTGTCACCCTCGCGACATGGCACAACTTGCAGGTCAGATCTCTCTGTGGTTGTATGCCCTCTGGGTAGTTTCTGCCTACTTTCTGAATCCAAGATATTCCTCTCATTACCTGCACTTCCAAAGGTCTCATGGCCTGTCCTATACAAGTCATGTGATTGCTGAGTGAGGCCTGGCTGTCTCCTGTTCTGGTCACTGGAGCCATCTCTGTCTTGGTGTTGTACCAGTTTGTGAGCAAAGGTAACATGCTTGGCTCTCAGAGATGGACTGCCTGGTACTTTAAGACAGGAACTTGGTTTATCTGCTGTTGTGGTTGTTCCTGAGGTTGAAGCAGGAGGCTGGCTGGGGTGTGATTGCGATCCTGGGCATTCGTTGGACATAGTGGTCCTCTCTTTTTTCCATGGACTTGATGGAACACGACTAGGCTGAGCATTCTCCTGAGAGGCCATTTCTTTGTTGCTGTCTTCTTCTTTCTGCATTCTAAAATGAGAAACAATTAGGGAGTCTTTGAGCAAAATAGAGCCTTTTCTTCGCTCCATTTTTGGTGTACCATGTTCATTATCCTCACTCACTCGGGAACCAGCTCCTGAACTAGACACTTTATCAGAGTCTGTTGCTACGCCTTTGACTATAACTGTTCCTTTGTGCCGACAGAAACCCTGGCTGTGAACAGATGTACTAGGAGTTTTATTTTCTTTTTCCCTATAATTGACTTCTGGAAGATTATCACTTGATTTTTTTCTTTCATGCTCTTGATCTCCCAATTTGTTTGAATCTTTGTGGGGAGAGAACACTGGGATACTAGAATACTTTCTGTCATAAGAAGTCTTATTTTCTACGCCCGTTGTTGCTGCACGCAAGTTCTCATGTGAGGAAGATGATTTTTTATTTGACACCCCACCATGAAACCCAGACACATCATTCAGAACCTCACCATCAACAACAACAGACCCAGAACTTATCACAGAATACTTGGAATAAAGAGACGAATCAACATTCTTGTAAGGTGAACCACTTGCATCGCTAGTGCTACCTTCACTTCCGCTGCTATAGGTTTTTCTCTGGGATTTGGGAGAATGTTTCTGCATGATATTTGGAGACAGGGGTTTTAAAGACTCCCTTTTGGAAGTTTCTGTATCACTTGCAACATGACTCTGCCTCTCCCTCAAACTAGTGTCACTGCTCTTGTCAGAACGTTGAGAGTATGTGGGCCCAGATCTGTAAGTTTCTGGCATCACCTTTTGACCAACATTTTCATGTAGGTTCACTGAGTAACATGCTTTCCTTGGTGGGCCACCAGCTTGAGGGGGTTCATGAGGAGTTAACGATACCTGTAACAAGAGTAATTTACATCAGTACCTTAAATATTACATGAAATCTAAGAATTATCCTCATTCAGGCTGACAAGCCAAATCTCATGTTTATTTTTTGTGACTTGTAGATATGAAACACTAAAAAAATAAAGTAAATAATATTATCCAAATAAAATCCCACTCACTTTGAGATGACCTCTGACACAACCTCGAAGGTCAAGCAACGGATACCAGCCACAGAGGGAGACATGTCCACTCCATATTGAGGTAGCATCCACACACACAAAACCCATTAATGGATCTTCTAATGAGGGTGGCTGGTCCCAGGATCCATGGTGTACCTTCAGTATTAAATTCCCATCAGTCTGTCAAAAAAGAAAAATAAGTGATACTGTCATTAGTGTCAAACTATCCTGAAAAATTATTCTTATCTTTTATAGCAATCTACTATAAGTACTGTTAACTTCTCTATATTTCAAACATATCTTCATGAACTTGAAGGGAATGAAATAAAAGGCTTACTTGGCAGAGTTGTGAATATGGCAGTAAGACATCAGCTGCATAATTCCACATGGGATTATCAGCTTCCAGGCATATATTAGTCTGGATATTATGTGACCCTATGGTTGCTCTCACATAGCAACTTGGTGGTTTAAGGGTTCCATCTGGCCCTTCCACCCAAGGGAGGTTTCTGCCCTTTAGGATTTCTAAATGCACCCTACAGGACCCTCTCCTCTCTTCTTGCTTCATCTCAGCACTTGATCTCCGATTCAGTAGTGCATGCTCAATGTAGTCAGCGTGGAAGTCCCCAATAGTCCTGATGCATGGAGATTCACCTCCACTTTCAACAGGCTGGTTGTTTGTCTGAGGATCATGTCCATTAATGCCAGCAAGAAATGAGCCCTGGTAAATGCGAAATCCAGAATCAGAAGAGCTAACAACCTTCGTTGGGACAGGGCTGCTAAGGATGCTGTCCACTACCTCAACTCTCCCTGGTTGCTTTGGTTGTTGCTGCCAAGCCCCATTGTAAATTTTTTCTCTAGGGCTCATGTGTGTTGGGAGGTATATTGAGTTGAAGACAGCTGACTGAAAGGGTTCATAACTCTCAGGTGGAACAGGTCGGGGTTTGAAAATACGTATGACCTCTCTCTCTTCACCATCTGGATCTCTGTGAGACCTGGGGCCAGCATGTGGTGGTGGTGTGGAAGGGAGTGCATGTGTATATCCTTTTTCTCTCAGCTTAGCAAGATAAGGTATTTCTTTTAGTTTTGAATCAGGATGCCCCACATGGGATCCCACTTCATGTGAGCCTTTTCTATGATGGAGATCCCAGGGTTCTTCAAGGTCTCCAGTATGATGGGATTGTCCCATCGCAAGCCCAAGCCTTGCAGTGAAGGTTAAATTTGCATATGACTGCTTCACATCTCCCTCCTCTTTCCTCTTGGCCTTCCGTCTCTTGGTCAATGAATCTTTACCATCTGGTACTTCTGAGCGGAAAAGAGGTACCTGCACCTCCGAGCCACTAAGCTGCCATAAGTCCATCATGCTGACACTAGCACTGCCAACTTCCTCACTGTCCCTTTCTCCAAGGCGCCGACACACAGATCTGTTAGAGAACATCATACGTTTAGCAAGGTACTGAATTCTTTTTTATTTAATTATCAAAACTAATAGCATGTATTAAGTACATAATATGAAACCGTTTTCTCATTACTTTCTTCGTCCAGTACCTTATATGTAGGTCAACAACTATTCAATCATTTTTACCCAATCCTTTTTTAAATTCCTTCTATCCAACCCCCACTAAAAATATCCTTTTCACTCTAATGGGAAAAAAAATCAATTACATTTTTAAAACATACATTCCAAACCGGTCAGTGCATATGAGTACAATGTGTTTGTCTTTGTTCTATTCTTATCACAAACACAGACTGATTACCCAGCTGGTACTTAACTGACCTGATTTCCAGCTGCCCTCTGAGGATCTCTAAAGCTGGTGCAGGAGGAAGCTTCAGCACCTCCCTTACATTGTAGTTGATTTCTGAAAAGCATAACATAAGCCAGGTGGCATACTTCATTTTACTTCGGACATCTCTTTACACTTTATAAATTCTTATACATGATATTTTTACAGATTAAAATATTAACTTGTCCCAAGGGCAATCCAAGGCAAAGTATTTTCCTCCCTCATACCATTTTCAGCTAACTGTCTTGAAGCACAAGTCTGAGACAAGTCCCATTCTGGAGGTATTTCAACTCCTGGCAACTTCACCTCCAATGTGGTCAAGTAACACACTCTACTGCGATGCATGACCTTCACACCTAAACAGAAAGATGGGATAATTTTTCTCACATATATGTCACATTAAATAATTTCATACTTCAAAATAACGATGTGCATGCATACTTAAAATGAACACAGGGCAGTAGAAAGTGTCCAAAAAGAAATCTGATACTTAAACACTTACCACTGATCTTTTCCTTCTTATCAGGTGGTCTGACTGGAAGCAATGACGGAGCCAAAGTCAGCGTGCCAACATCAACTACCAATACTGAGCCCTCTT